TCTCATTTCAATATGTATTAATGTATTCATATATATTACTCTAATTATTTAACCCAATTCAGTTTTTTTTATCACAAATCTTTCAGGTTTTTTCACCAAGCTAGCCCTTTTGAGGTATATTTATCTAAGTTTTCATAATTATGCTTCTTTTATTTTATATTCTGATTCTTGAATTTTTTTATTTTTTTTTTTTAGTATGTTCTGTATGATTTTTGCATGTTTTTTTATATGTTATTAACAGTTATATATCTTGTGATTCAGTTACATTAAGGAACCGAATTAACCGAACCGTTAGTTTGGTCTTTTCGGTTGATGCAAAATTTAACGTATAAATCAAACTTATATATATCTTACAGTTTTGAATACCAATTGCATGGCCAAGACAATGACCCAAAATCCGGCCACCGGAAGTGGCGGGGACGGTGGTGCCAAAGCCGGAACCACCTTCGTGCAAGCTGATTCGACTTGTTTTCGAGACTTGGTCCAACGCTTGACCGGCCCATCTGGGAACCAGGCCCAAGCCCAAGTCCAAGCACCGGTCAAGTCTCCAGCACCCAAACCTACCCAAAAGCTACACGAGCGAAGGAAATACAGCAAACCCAAGATAGAGATTGCAAAGCTCGGAGACTTCCAAGACCATCAATCTCTGCAGTCCAAGATGGCAACAAGCCCAAATATGTTGTTTGGGGGGAGCCCACAAGGAGGCTTTGGGGCCTTCTCAACAAGCCCGTCATCGAGTGTGATGATGTTGAGCCTGCCCAACAGCTTACAGGCCAGCCCAATAAGCACGCCCGTTGGGAGTTCAAATAAAAGAGCATCTCCATCGAATGAGCTTGAGCTAAATCCCGGAGAGGAAGAAAAAGCTATTAAAGAAAAGAGGTTTTATTTGCACCCTTCTCCTCGTTCGAAGCCTAGGCTTGCACCTGATCCCGAGCTGCTAACGTTGTTTCCGCTTGCTTCACCTACGGCTTCGAGTAATGCTGATAAAATGTGAATCTTTGTTGGTGAATCGGTCTGCAAATTTCTCGTTGCATGGACGGCTAAGTTACAAACCCTGAAGAAAGGGAAGGGGGAAAAAAGAATGTCAAGTTCTTAAATGATAATTATTATGTTTGATACATGGAATGAAAATCACAAATTCTTGTATAAAATAGCCGTAGACGAATCGACCCATTATACTTCTTAAACAAAAAGTATGTACTTATGTCATGAATGTCACATTCTAACATTTTAATTTGAAAGTATGCATATATATTTAAAGTTACGCTGCGATTAGATCTACCAAACAAAAGAAAGTTGGACATGATAAAGAGTGTGATTCATTCCACCTACAATCATCATAACCAACAAGTTCTCATGTTTTAGGACTGGCATGTTAACAAAGTTCTTTACAAAAGGTCATTCCAAATCAACAATATAGCTAGAACCGACATCGCTCCACATGCATATTCAAAACAACCTGTACCCAACTGCACGTGCACATTTCGTCCTAGTCAAAAACTACAGGCCGACTTTCACAACAAAAGCTTAAGGAATTAAAGGCCTCAAAACCATTGATTCTAGGTTTAATGTGATAATGTCTGAAATTAAGTTAGCGAGTAGAGCTCAGAAAACCCAAGTGTCTTCTTTAGTTTACTGACTGGGTATCATTTTCACTAACGCTACCATCATCACCATCATCATCTTCATAATTGTCTCCTCTGTAGTCTTCATCACTATCCACTTCCATGACAACTTTCTCTTCTTCATTTTTCTTGCCACCCGGTGAAGGACCAGATTCTTCTTTGCCATTGCCCACTGGAAGTGATTTGACGGCAGAGATTGAATTGTCAGTAGCTTTCTCTTGGACCGCATGCTCGTTGCGGGTGTGAATGAGGTAATGCGCCACGGATTTGAAACCAAGCTTCGAAACCTGAAATGTTGAAAAAAGGTTCATATAAATCAATATGTCAGATTCTTTCCAATCAAGGGCTAGAAAGTATCTTAAAATTTGTAACACTAGTCAATTGCAATTTTGGTAAAGTATCTGGAATGGTTTTTGTAATGATCCCTTGAATAAACGGAGGATGTATATCATATGATGAAGTCAATCAAACTTGATATTATTAAAAATGTGGAAAAAGAAAACTTTGTAATAAGAGCCACAATACAACAAATAAAACCAAGCATCTAAAGAAGACTCGTCCCAAAAACATTACCTTGTTATAGATTGCTCCAGTAGGCATCCATCCTTTCTCTCTTCTGCAGCGGCTGCAGTTGCATATTCCCCGACATGTGGGGCAGACCCATTCTGAATTCTGATTTACTTCTTTCACATTCTCCCCATATCTGAAATTTGCAATACAAATGAACTTAATTTTGTATCAAAGGATGGCATGATATGTGTAGCATTTTCAAGAGAACATTTTCAAGAGAAAGGAAACTACTGACACGCGATTGGGACTACTTGTTCATTTCAGGATAATCTAAGAATGAATGAAATGGTTAAGAAGTCCTATTACGGGAGTTCTGTTTTACGAAACACTTTTTGTATGTTCACATGTAATGAAAGATAAACCAAATTTTTGGCATCAGATACCAGGATTAGGAGTCAAAGGTCCATGAGTGAATCGAGCAGCTAACGGACATCAATTTTCTCTCCAGCAATACATGCTGGATATTTATGCGTTTGTATAATGATTCGGAAATATAATATGTTCTATATCAGGTGCAACAAACAAATTTCAGAATCATGCATGGGAAACTTTACTAGAAACTGAAGTGTGATACTTGTAGACTGAGATGAAAGCAAATAATAATAACTTCCATTTTTAATAGTTTGTTGTAATTCTGTTATCCAAGTCAATAAAACCTCATGTATAAGCAATCTCCACAGAACTGCCCTGAGACCGCCTCGCATTTGCTGCATGTAGTATGAAAGCCCAATGTTTTTTGCCTGCAAAGTTTCAAACATTAGCATTTACATCTAAATGAACTCAGGGAAGAAGTATTACAAAGTCAAAGCAAGATACCAGTAAGAGGCAATGCTTATCCCTGTAGAAAGGCTTGAGATAATGCTCTTATCAAGCATAAATGACAACTGACTAAATCCTTAAATCAATGATAAAGAACCGGTTTTGGAATCATATCATAGCCTAGAACACTTTCTATAACCATATATCGGAAAGACAAGGCTCAGTAAGTAGATAACAATGCATTATTTCATACGATAATGTATAGCTAGCTGTTACGGGAGCACTAACACTACCAACCTCTTATGTGTATGCTGACCAAACTTCCCTTCAAAAGTTACAGTTCTATCTGAAGAGCTTGTTTTATAATAAACTCTTTGTCCTTAACGAAACCAACAATGGATAAAAGACCAAGACCAGAAAACAAATAAAGCAATGCTAAGCAAAAGATACAGTTACAGTCACTGCACATCCATGTCAGCTGATATTCAAACCCAATTCAGTATCATCTCTCCAAGCTCATGAAGATCCACTTAGCCACTTAAATATGAGCTTAAAACTAGGATGAAACAAAATGCCCCCATACACACAACAAGAACCACAAGACACAAACAAAAGCAATTCTACTTAACAAAGATGCTTAATGGAACCAAACGATAAATCATTCCACAACCCTCAACTCATTACGAAGCAAACAGTTGTTTAAACTAGCAAATCCTTTGAACAACACATTCTCAATCTCTGCGTATGTGTGCATCATGAATAATATACCTGCACTGGTGACAGCTCTTGCCATTGACAGGATCATAAATGCGCTGCCCGTCCTCGTCATACCCATCAACATACAGCTCCCAGACATTCTCCGAGTCCCCCAGCAACTTCTTGTGTTCTTCCATGTAGATCTCGGGGTTTTCACCTTCCTCTATATGTATTTCCACGTTCTCAAACATGGTCTTCTTTGCCGGGGTCTTCTTTTCAACGTAGCTCACCGGAGGCAAGTCCTTCAGCCTGAACGGATAACACCATATCCATTTTCCCCCAAATCAAAAACGCGACAAAAGAATAAGAAAAAAAAAAAAAAAAACCCAGCAGAAGTCTACACGAAAACGGACGACAAAATTACAGAACAGGGGGAGAAAGGCAAAATCTTTAGGGCTAAACAGCAGTGTAGGTTCCGATTGACGGACCTGGAGGAGCGCCTCGGGGGGTCGTTCGGAGGCGCGTGCGCGGGCTTCGCTTTGCGAGGCGGTTTGGAGGCGGAGGAACGAGGTTTGAGGTTCTTCGAGAGGTCGAAGAGGCCGAGGGTTTTCATCCTCTCGGCGTTTTCTTTGATTCTCTGAGCTCGAGACTCTTCGTACTCTGATTTGTTCACATTCCCAGTTTCGTTTTCCTGTGTTTCTGTGTTCTTCATTGGTCTTTCTGTGTTCTTTCTTGGTCTTCCTCTCGCGCCCACCATTGTTGTTCTCTGTGTGTGTGTGTGTGTGTGTGTGTGTAGGTTTTTTGTTTCATTCAAATCCAGCAATGGCGTGAAAAGGAGCAATTATTATTAAGAAATGGCCATCATTTGCTGCCTGTCTTTTCACATTCCCGCGCACAGGGCATGTGTGCTTCGTACGTTGTACCTTGTGTTTATTGTCTTGGCTTTCAATTGGGCTTGCTTAGGGTGTATATAGGCCCTAATTCATTGGTGCGGTCCAAATTGAGAATAAAAAAAATCAATAAAATTTAGGCTATTTTACACATACACATACATTAACTCAAGGAAAATTACATTTTGCCTACCGAACTAATCGCGTTTTAACACTTACCCATTCAACTTTTTTCGGTGACACTTTACCCCTTCAACTTCAAATATTCTTGCACTTAGCGACTTTCGGCCACCAGAGATGCAAAATAAAGGGTAAAGTGTAAAAATGCGAATAGTTCGGTAGGCAAAGTGTACGCGTTAAGACTCGTTTGAGGTGTCTCCGAAGGTGTAAAGGATGATTTGCCCTTGATTTTGCATCTCCTATGGTCGGAAGTGGTTAAGTGCAAGAATTTTTAAAGTTCAAGGGGTAAACTGTCACCGGAAAAAGTTGAGTGGGCAAAGTGTAAAAACGCGAATAGTTCGGTAGGCAAAGTGTAATTTTCCTTTCCTAAAAAATAAAAAGGCTTAATTGCACATAAGATCTCCACTTTTTGTGTAATTGCAAATAAAACTTAATCTTTTTATCTTTGCAAATAAATACCAAACTCTTAATATGTGTTGCAAATTTTTCTCAAAACCATTTTCCGGCCAATCCTTGTTGACGTGTCCGATCAAACATCTTACGTGACACTTATGAGGGTTGTGTGACATCAGTCTTTGAAACTCCTCATCATGTTTTTGCCACATCATATGTCAATAACTTAATCAATATTAGAGTTCAGCACCAATTGAGAAAATAGGATTTTGTCACCATGTTTTTTGCTCCATAATCTTCATAAAAATCGAGTTCTTCTCCTCCAATTTTTTTTTAAGTATTTGCAGCGATTCTTCTCTTCTCCATGGCGCGATTCTTCTCTTCTCCATGGCGCGATTCTTCACCCCCGAAAATCGAATTCACCCCCAACATTCCAAATACATTTATGAGCTCACACCCCAAATTTTAAAAAATTGGGCAGGGAGAGCGATTTTCGAGTGATTTTTAAGCGATTTTAGTGTTCTGATCGGACACATCAGCAAGATTGGTCGAAAATAGTTTTGAGACAAATTTGCGACACATAATAAATGTTTGATATTTATTTTCGAAGATAAAAAAATTGAATTTCATTTGCAATTACACAAAAGGTGAGGATTTTATCTGCAATTAAGCCAAATAAAAACATACAACATAACCTTTCATTTTTTGGGAACATTACGAGTTATATATTGTGCTTTAATACGATAAGTTGAAAGTTTTATAGGTAGTAGTCGATTTTAATAGGATACAACGATTCTTCATAAGCAATCCCTATTTACACATCTTTTTCTCTTCATTTTTCTCTTCTTCTTCATTGCCTTACACACAAACCAAAAAATCAGTTTGTGTGTTAAGGTAAAAATGATCGATCAGTGTCGATGGTTTAAGCATGCAAGCAACACAGAGTCAACACCACAACTAGCGACTTAGATGGATGATCGACGAGTGAGTGGAAACGATCAAATGCGGTTATGTGGCTTGATCCTTATTGGTGGGGCGAAAACTTAAATTCGGCTACGATCTCAAAGCGACGACTCGAGAAAAGGCCCATCTCTAAGAACTCAAAGCTCAAGGCACAAAGGTGGCTCGAAGGGGGGTCTGACTAACTTGTTGTGGCAAATTTTTCATTTTTTCAGTTGTATAAATGACATTGTTCCTTTATGTATGGAATATAAGTAGTTTATTGTGTGCATAATTTTATGATCAATTATGTTTTCATCATAGGACAACAAACTTTCACTTTTGTTCATGCTTTCTTTCAAGTTCTTGCAGTCTCATTTATTTTGTTCATTGTTAAGTACAATTTTTTTTTTTTTTTTTTTTCTTGAAAACTCAATTCCTATTTGTGTATGTTTACAGTTACTTTTGTAATTTGTTTTAATACACTGTTTTAGTAAAGTATTTTTTTTTTATTAATCATGACAAAATATCCCCAATGAATATATATTAACACTAGTACAACGCCCGTGTATTACACGGATGCTTGCTATTTTTTTAATAAAAATAAAAATAAAATTAATGAAAAAAAAAATAGTTGAAAATTTAAATACCTTTTATAATAATATATATATTATTATATATTTAGTATGATATTTTTTATTTGTGCAATTTACATGTGTTATATTATAATAATTTTTTTAACTTACAACATATAACTACATTAAGCAAAAATATATCAATTGAGAAATAAATTTATTTTTCTAATGAATTTTAGTAAATATTATTATTTTTTATTATTATAAATATAAATATAATTTATTTATTTCATATATACGATAGGGATGTCAAATCGAAGATCATCAAAAGATGATTAATTTGATATATTATATATGTAAAATCGATACGAAATACAGAAATTATCGACTTTTAAAATACATTTATAATTCAATAGCTAATTGAAAGAAACAAATCAAAAGTCAGGAATATATTAGTCACTTAGTGCCTCAGTATGTAAAATTACAAAGAAATAAAGAGTTATATTAGTATGAGTGATATTAAAATACCTAAGTTAGCTAAATAATATTTATGGAATATCCAAACCTAAATTATTAATTATTAATATATCAATATTATTTGTCCAAACCTAATTATAAAGCATGATTCTTTGCCAAGTAAGATTCCGAAGCACCAGAAGCAGCCACGTAGGCTCAGCGCATTCTGGAATAATATATAGGGAGGATTTTATAATATAAATATGGATCATTAAAATACATTTGCTAGGTAACCTAACATCAACATTGTGACCCGACTGTTTACCCAAGTGAGAGATGGCCAACACAAGTCTACTAAACAATAAAATCTAACAACCCATTAAAAACCAATGCATTCGTAGAGGTGATCCGGGCAACGGTCGGTCTCTATTCACCGATTGCGGTAGATAGGCATAATTATCAACCAAGAAAACAACAACAAATCTCATAACAAAATTACGTTTTTTGAGTTAAAATAGACCAACGATCTTTTGCTCGATAACATCGAGCTCAGTTAGTCTTCTTCTCTTCTTCACTCTGCTCAATTGCCTGCGTCTGCGTGCTTGTTGTGGCCTGTTCATCCTCGCCACCAAAACCAAATTCATTCACTCGTTTTTTGTCCACCGGGTAGATCCATCTTTGATAAAGGTATATCAAGAATATAACATCTGCACATTATCAATTGAATTATTCGTAAGCGTAAACCAACATAAAATGAACAAATGATACTTGGCTAAAACAATTTTTTTACCACTTATGTTTTGTTAGAGAAAAGCTCTCGTTTTAGCAATGAGATAATAAATTTTGAGGGGGAAAAAAAGATAGTTTAGTAAAATAAAAATTTGCACTTTAAAACTGCAAAAGAAAAAGTTCACTCTATGGAGAAAAAATAAGCAAAAATGTACGACCACTCACCATCACGGAAGACAGAAAGTCGATGAAGGACCGGCATCTTAATGACAAATGCAAATAGATCATCAATGATCGTGTTCAGGAATTTGTACGTCATCTGCCTCCAAGGCATATGTGCAACAGACTTTAGCTTATAGTTAATGAACAGTTGTGGGCACATCATAATAAAACCTGCATCAAACCAGACAAGTGCCAATATAACCAAAACCGAAGGAATCTGATCTCTAAAATATCGTGACCCGCTAAACTTTGTGTTATTACTATCTCGAGAACATCCAACAAATTCTTAAAGAAACATATGTATGATATGTATTTTTCTTAGTTCATCACTTTTCATGTTTCTTTGAAATCCCAGTATGAAGTACACACAGTTCAAAAAAAAAAAAAAAAAAAAAAAAAAAAAAAAAAAAAAAACACTAAAAGGAGGATTTAGATGCTACCAAACATGTAGACGCAGCTCGTGAGAGATGAGAGAATCCAAGAGTACCAACTCTTGTGGCGTTCATACTTCAGAGAATAAATAGAGAAACAGACGGCGAGAAAGAAGAGAACATATGTCAAGTACTTCATTGCAATATCATCATATTCTTTAGTCTTGTTACTAGCATATGACTCACGGTCACGGAACCTCAGCCTAGGTATCACACCAGATCTATCAATCTGAAAAAAATCAAAAGAATAAAGATGACTGTTCCAACACAACACTACCATAATAATAATAATAATAATAATAATAATAATAATAATAATAATAATAATAATAATAATAATAATAATTCTCCCTATATATAATTCCCGAATGTGCTGAGCCTATGTGGCTGCTTCTAGTGCTTTGGAATCCTACTTGGCGAAGAATCATTCTTCGTAATTAGGTTTGGACAAATAATATTGATATATTAATAATTAATAATCTAGGTTCGGACATTCCATAAATATTATTTAGCTAACTTAGGTATTTTAATATCATTTGTACTAATATAACCCTTTAATTCACTGTAATTTTACACAGTGAGGTACTAAGTGACTAATATATCCCTGACTTTTGATTTGCTTCCTTCAATTAGCTATTGAATTGTAAATGTATTTTAAAAGTTGATAACTTTTATATTTCTTATTGGTTTTACATATATAATATATCAATTAATCATCTTTTGATGACCTTCGATTTGACATCCATATTGTATATATGAAATAAATAAATTATATTTATTTATAATAATAAAAAATAATAATATTTATTAAAATTCATTAGAAAAATAAAATTATTTTTCAATTGATATATTTATGTTTAATGTAGTTATATGTTGTAAGTTAAAAAAAAATATTATAATATAACACATGTAAGTCGCACAAATAAAAAATGTCATACTAAATATATAATAATATATATATTTTTATAAAAGGTATTTAAATTTTCAACTATTTTTTCTCATTAAACCCGTGTAATACACGGATGTTGTACTAGTAATAATAATAATACTCCGCCTATGTTGTCTCAACATAGCAGGTCCCAAGCCCTGGTAAAGGAGGAGGGTTGTGACTTGTGATAGGCTTAGCGAGCCAACGTAAAACCTAGCCGTTCTATGGAGATGAATAATAATAATAATAATAATAATAATAATAATAATAATAATAATAATAATAATAATAATAATTTGTGGACCTTCAACTCAAGAATTCAAAGTCATACCTCAATGTGCATGGCTTTTCCTATTTTCCAGAACTCAATGCAGCAGCCAATACCAGAGCTTGCAAGTATCATCCACGAAGTTTCATTGTCAAGCAGATAGAGGAAAACTATAAGCTGACAAAAGAAATTTACGACAACGGATTTTGCAGATAATCCCTCCATGGACTTGTTTTTATTCCAAAACTGAATATCTGCAAATAATGATAGTATATGGTATGGCTTCAAAAGTAGGTTCAAGAGGTAAAAGTTCATCAAAGCTGCACATTATATGGTAATCGATGTCATTACCGTTCTTAAAAGCCAAGAAGTCGAACAAAGAGTGAAGTACTGAAACAACCATTGTAATCGCCAAAAGATAAGGATTTCCTTCCAGAAAAACTCTCTGTTGAAAAGATCAAATAATGAGAAAACCACTTGAAATGCCACATACTAACCAAAAATACAGAAACATGAAATCTGGAATGACATAAGGACATGATCGTACCTTAAGTTCGTCAGCTTCACCTTCGAGCATGCTCCCATAATTCCTATGAATCTGGAATGACTGGTCAATCTGTAGGTATAGCTGCCATTTAGTCATGCTGATGGGGCCAACCTCTAGATTCAGAGGCAATTCATTCACTGTCTCATTGACCGGTATTAACTTATCTCGAAGTAACCAAAAATCGTTGAAGAAGATGGTCGGGTAGTAGTTTCCGGTACTATTTTCAACGTTGAAGTCTTACATTTCAAGTCAAGGATCCAGTATTACAACATAGAATGGTTGTTCAGCCATAGACGGACAGTAAGAAGCGACGAACCTTATCTAGCGAAGGTTATATGGAAAAATTTAGATTGGGGGCCTAACTATACCACATGTCCTCATAAATAGGCATTTACAACAAAAGCTGAAAACACTGGAAAATAGATGTAAACACACATTTCCAGAAAATTATAGTTTTGATAGCCAGAACTTTAAGCTTCTTCTCGTAAACCAATTTTGAACATACAACCGTAACAATGTGCTTGGGCATTGCACATATATATATATATATTATGCAACACGATTGTCACTCACAAAATAGTTAGGACTGTAAGCTCTACATGAAATAAATGGGCCTGTAGAATCAAACGGTATAAAGTTTCTCATATATCGAACAAGGAGAGGTCTCAATGAGTAGTATCAAATGCTACCACTATAATAACAGGCAAATAAATATATTTATAGAACTGCTACTTCATAATGGCTGAGAACTAAGAAGCACTGTCACTACATAGAAAATGAGTTAAGTGTACCAAGGTGAGGAACTTCATGAGGCATTTATTCAGCTGCCTTTCTAAAAAAAATGTTCAGTATTCAAGCCAATCCTTCACGCATACCTTCATTCAACACAAGAGTTTTCTCCTCTTGGAGAACTAGACATGTGAGAGAACCTAAACCACTCACAAGAATTTGAGAGAAACCACGATAATGACCATAATCATGTCATGCGTACAACTCGAGGAAAACAAGGATACAAGGAGCAATATGTGGCGGAATTGCATTCTGTGAGTATCTGCAAAAGAACACAGTTAACAGTAAGCACTTTACCGGTCAAAAGGCCATGAGCTGAGAAATTTAAGAACCTCATAAACTAATGCATACACAGTAAACAAAAGTATATGCTACTCTACACATTCAATAACAACCACATTGCATTATGATTGAGCTTAATGCACGTAAGTTCTCGACACTTGCAGAAAAAGAGCTCCACATATAGTAACTCCCATAGAGACGTGAGCATTCATATGGGCACTGAATCTTGTTTGAACAGTTTCCTGAGTGTTCCACTAGCAACAAATGAACCGACCGAGGACAGAACATATGATATCTGAAACCAAATCGGACTTAGCTTATGAATATTAGCATTGTGATTCTCAATGCCCTACCACCCTCTGTTCATACAAAACTTTACAGTGAGTTATTTACAGGGAAGTTCTTCAAAAATCTACATAACAGTACTTCCCATTTACAGAGATCAATATGATACGTTTCCCAGTCATTTATTACTAGATAAAGGAAACAACACAGCTGTCACTATCATAATACCGAAAACACTTGATTTTCTCAACCAGATAACAGATTATACAGGTGCAAAGGAGCAGGACCTACATGGACAAGAAAATAAGCAATTTATATTCATCTCACTCCCATTGTCCCAGTCAATCCCCCCAACCCAAAAAATTCTGCAGCCAGTATGTTCTTAAATTTGTGAAAAGCACATCTACTAGTCCAGAAATTTAAAATGTGCCCACATCAGTCTCACCCAATGTGTTCAGTCAACAAATGCTTGAACGGATTTTCACTTCACCACATTAGATTGGCGACAGCGGAATAATAAAATGCTTGGGAGTAGAAACAACAATAACATACAATTTTACATCAACTTAGATGGAACTGTGGATGGTATCATCAATAACACCAAAATAAGTGACTCATAATCATCTAAAATATGTTTAGGCAAAATTGTACCTGGTAAAATCATCAACTAGATTTATGGTAACATTAGGTTTCCAATATGACATCCATTCAACTGGTCCATCCTCTTTGACATCATCATTAGAATCATTGGGTACCTGAAGCAATATCAGTTTTTACTTTAAAAAATAAATGAAGAACGCCATATACTTTTTACACTACACAAAAGAGCTCACAGAAAACAAAAATAAAATAAATCACCAAAATATCTCAATGTTCAATAAGAAGTAATAAGAAGCCCAATATAATTTAAAGCACAATGATTAAGGAACAATTAAGACTAGATACCTCGGTGGCCTTTTCATCAACTACAGCGTCCTTGGAGTTCCCTAAAAGACTCTTCTTCTTGTCAGCCTTCTTCGGCAAATATGTCACCAAAGCTATACAAAACAAAAACACCATAGCGTTTAGAGGCTAAGTCAACAAAACCAATCAATTATATCATAATAATATAAATTCTCACGGTGGGTTCTCCCAAATGCAGCCAAAGGTTGGAACTCAGGGTCCTTGGGGTCTGGCGGATAGCCAGACCTAGCAAAGAAAACATGAGCATAAAGACTCCCATTGTTCTTTAAAGCCTAAAAATCAGACGAAGTACTTCATAGTTAACTTTCCAGGGTAACAATTGAACAGAAGACAGCAACGGACATAAAGCAAAACGTAAAACAAAAGCACAAATTTATTAGAAAGAAAAACTATGAAAAGAAATAAAATCATCGACCCAATAATCACCACCTCAGAAGGATAATACTTCAAGGATAGAGTTCTGGTACTATCTGCTGTCCAAACAGCATAAGGTATGCTTGTCTCCTGCCAGACAAGGGCTCCCTCACTGCCGAAGTCATTAAATTTCTCCTGCTCAGAAAGATATAACCACATATCCTGGAAAGAAATACAATATGTTTTCAAGTTTAGAGAGTTAGAGAGACAACACTATCGGAATCAATGAATACTTGTCACTTGCTAAAAATGGAAGATCAGGGCCCAAATGTCAGCTACAGTAGACTCATCATAGAACCAAGTTATGGTCATCAACCTTGGGGAGGGTGGTAGACATAAAATTGTTTACTTGTCTATAAAATTACAAAAAAATAAATATTAGATCATCTTTATTTCAACCCAAACTCATCCTATAGGTCTATTTTTTCTTCTCACATCCTGGCAGATATTATTCCCACCTGGGGTTGAACCCATGCTGTGGCCCAGGTGCACTTTTGTACTTCATGATTCTAGCTCAACCTTCAAGCCATCTAATGAGGCTTACTGGAGTTTAATCTATTTATTTTCTAAGTTTCGTTGATGCAACAAAGTACAATAACTTTCAATAAACTTTTGTAAATAACTTTGGCAATTGTTTTTGCATTACCCTACTCCAGTTATCGGTCTTCTTCTCCAACGACTTTTCTCGTCCTAGTTAGTTTTAGTAGCCCATAAGACGCTACTTTGAAGGGTGTATCATGTATGACTGCAAATGTCTATGGATTGAGCTGGAACTGTGAAAAGGTTAAGTTTTCGTATTAAAAGTAAATTAACTCTATTTTTATGTTACTAGCACAGGCTCCCATTTTTATTAAATTTATGGAGTTCCCCACCGGTCTCATCACAACTCGTATAATCAAACACATTTATGTTTCATGCAAATCTCATAAATAATTGAACTCATCTGACTGGAAATAATCAAAGACTTTCATGGGGAATTCCAAATTTCTCGTGAGCCACCTCTTGTCTCAGGCTGGTTTAAAAGGTACATAAATAAACTAATGGCCTGCACTAAGCTCCTGAATATGATACCACAACAAACAAATTATCCTATCATGCAAAAACTACCATCTATCATGCATACGAGAATCATACTTTTCAAATAAAAAATCGACCTTTCAAGGTAACAATCATATATTTAAGATAAAAAAACCTTAATTTTGAGGTGAAATGTATAACTTCTCAAAATAGTGTAAGTTTCTATGACAAATACAACATTTCACAGAACTAAATACCCTGAAAGTGTGACATTTTCATTAAATGAACTGCTTTTCATGCTGAAAATCAGAACATCATCAGCAAACGCCAAAGCAAGATTTCGATCTTTCTACAAAAGCCACAAGCAATAATCTTACTCCTGCGGCATTAGTTCCAACATATATATGTTAATCAATGTCCTCAATCTGCCCTTTCCAATCACATGCCCATAACACATGCAAACACCATACATGTATATGAATTGCAAAAATTACACACCAAACGGAATACCACATGCATATGAAGCTTCAAGTTTCATGAATTTACGGACCAAAGTTTCCCCCTTGTGAAATAGATTGGAGATCTGGTGAGAGGACTGCGGCGGCGGTCGCTTGGGTCCGAAGAATTTGGACGCAAAGTACCAGAACACCGCCACCCTAATTATCCCCGTCAACATACTCCCCGCGCCCTGCTGTTGCTGCTGCTGGCGCCTTGCTCCGCCTCCGCCGCCGTCACCAACTGTCGCCGGCGGCTCCATATTCCCTGTTCGTGCGTAGACCAAAGAGTTAACAGGGTCCTACGAGTTTGTGATTCGATTTATGACGCCCAAATCGTCGGATAGAATTCGAAATTGATACGCCAACAACTAGAGGAAATTTGATCTAGATTGATTTGTATTTGTATTGGGAGTTTGTTTGAGAGCTGCTACACTAGCTATCAAATTGGCACTCCTTTTTCCTCTTTTTAGTTTTCTTTAGCTTTTTCTATGGATATATAGTGATTTTATACATTGGTCCTTCATGTTTGAGAGTTGTTCGTTAAACCCCCTCTACATATGAAAAATATTGTCAACTACTACAACACATGTGTATTACACGATTGTTTGTTATTTTTTTATTAAATTTAAAATTAATAAGAAAAAAGTAATTGACAATTTAAATACTTTTTTTATAAAAAATATATGTTATTATATATTTTAGTATGACACTTGTTACTTAAACAACTTACCTGTGTTATATTATAATAATTTTTCTAACTTATAACATATAACTACATTAAACATAAATTTATTAATTGAAAAATAATTTTATTTTTATAATTAATTTTAATAAGTATTTTTTATTATTATAACGATATATATAATTTATTTATTTTATATATATAATAAGAAATATAAAAGTTATCAACTTTTAAAACGCATTTACAATTCAATAGTTATAATATGAATTGATATTAAAATACAATTAATATATGGAAAATGATCATATATAAATTAACATATTTATAGTAATTCGAACCTAATTATTTTTTGATTGGAATTAAATTAAAATCTATCCAAAACAAATAATAAAGCATGAAATTTTGACACCTAGGATCCCGAAGCATGCGAGCATGTCACTTAGACTCAACACATTTGGAAATTATATATAGGGGGATTCCACCCGACTTTTTGTTTCAATTTAAAATTTTATGAAGTTTTTGCAATTAAAATATTAACTAGTACAATGCCCGTGTATTACACGGGTGTTTGCTAATTTTTTCTTAAAATCTAAAATTAATGAGAAAAGGTAATTGATAATTTAAATACCTTTTATAAAAATATATATTATTATATATTTAGTATGACACTTTTTTATTTGTGCGACTTACTTGTGTTATATTATAAAAAAATTTTAACTTACAACATATAACTACATGAAACATAAATATATCAATTGAGAAATAATTTTATTTTTCTAACGAATTTTAATAATTATTATTATTTTTTATTATTATAAAGATAAATATAATTTATTTATTTCATATATACAATATGGATGTCAAATCGAAGATCATCAAAAGATGATTAATTTGATATATTATATATGTAAAACCGATAAAAAATACAAAACTTATCAACTTTTAAATACATTTACAATTAAATAAATAATTGAAGGAAACAAATCAAAAGCCATGGATATATTAGTCACTTAATGTCTCACTATGTAAAATCTCTATCTCTATATATATAAAGAGGGAGTTGATGAAATTGAGGTTACTAATAATAAATGTAAATGCTTCTTTTGGAAATGGTATCAACAATATTTTTGGAAACAAATATATAATTAGTATGTTTGTCTTTTCAGTTTATTAAATTAAATCATTCATGATAATTAATTATCAATTTAATATAGAATGAGTATTTTATATGACTTGAATCACAAAAGAAAAGTAAATAATCATTGAGAAAAGTAAATAATAGTGTAGATTTTGAATTGATTCTCAATATGCTAGGTAAATTTGTTAATCTTATAGAAAACATGTAAATAAATTTTATTCGTAGATGTTCATTATTGGTCGTGGCCATTTGAATATTTATGCTGCTTTGTTCAATTGATTGCAAGTGATGGAATTATTTTTACATTATATTGTTTTTTCATAATTCAAGAAAAATGAATTATACATTAATATCCTACAATCTTTGCGCAAATTTATCGACAACTGAATCATTTTATTTCTGTTTTTCTACAAATAAACTAATCAAATATTATTTGTATAAGATTCTTTCCATATGGAAACATAAAAAATAATATTTAATATGTTTTTTTCTTACCATGTATAAAAAATTATAAAAAGGTTATATATCATCATCTCAAATCATTTGATATAAAAAAA